ATGTGGGCTTTCATACTTACTCATATCCGGTTTAATTCCAAAACTTTGGGCTGGGTTACAAAACCAATTATGTATTGTAATAGGAAAAAACTGAGTTAGGAGATATCAGGTAAACGGCGGTGAATGAGAGCTGCTGGAAAGATGTCACCGACTCTGACTTGTCAACTTTCATATGTCACCTAGATGTGGTAGAACCATTGGAAACCTTAGTTCCCTTTCTCTTGGTGTACACCTGGGAGGATAATTGCTGGGCCCTAGGGTAGTTTTAGTAGACATTGCTAGTTTCCAAAATGGGGATGCTAAATTCTATTCTATCAGCAATGAGAGTTTCCATTACTGTAATTCTCTCAACATTTGATATCATTAGGTTTTTTAAAACTCCTAATCGTTTTGGTGGAAGTACAACAGTATCTCATTGAAGTTTTATTTTGCATTTTCCTAATGTGTCATGATTTATAGGACATTTTCTTATGCTTGTTGTTCATGTAGATATATTGTTTTATGAAATACTTGCTGTTTTGCATGTATTTTAAAAATTGGGGATCGTTTGTATATGCATGTTTCAGGACTTCAATTCTTCAGTATAAATACCAAGGAGTGGTACAGGTGGGTCATATGGTGGTTCCATGCCTAGTCTTTTGAGGAACCTCCGTATTGATTTCCTTAATGGTTGTACTAATTTACAATCCCACCAACCATTTAAAGTGTTCTTTTTCTCCACATTCTCTCCAGCATTTACTATTGTTTGTATTCTTTTTTAAATGTAATTTTTATTCTAATTTGTTATATTTGAAAGCAGAATACATTGCAATTCATATTAAACATATAGAGCACAATTTTTCATATCTTTGGTTGTATACAAAGTATATTCACACCATTCTTGTCTTTTGTTTCTATTCTTGATGACTGTCATTCTGACCGGTGTGAGATGGAATCCCAGTGTAGTTTTGATTTGCACTTCCCTAATTGCTAATGATGTTGAACATTTTTTTCATACATTTGTTGGCCATTTGTAGCTCTTTTGAGAAGTGTCTATTTAATTCATTTGCCTACTTATTGAGTTTTTTTTGTGTTTTTATGTTGTTTTTTGAGTATATATATATATATATTCTAGACACTAATCCTCTGTCAAAAATGTAGCTGGTAAAAATTTTTCTCCCATTCTGTAGGTTCTCTCTTCACGTTCCTAATTGTTTCCTTTGCTGTTCAGGAGCTTTTAAATTTGATACCATCCCGTTTAAACTTTTGGTGTTGCCTACTGAGCTTTAGGTGTCCTCTTGAGAAAGTGGTTGCCTGTGCCTATATGCTGGAGTGTGGACCTTATGTTCTCTTCTAGGAGTTGTGTAGTTTCTGGTCTAATTTCTAGGTCTTTGATCCATTTTGAGTTGATTTTTGTGCAGGGTGAGAGACAAGGGTCTAGTTTCATTCTCCTACATATGGAAAGCCAGTTTCCTTAGCACCATGTGTGGAAAAGACTGTCTTTGCTCCAGTGTATGTTTTTGTCACCTTTGGCAAGAATCAGATGACTGTAGATGTGGGGGTTTGTCTCGGTCTTGTATTGCTTACCATTGGCCTCTGTGTCTGTTTTCATGCCAGTTCCATGAAGTTTTTGTTACTATAACTTTGTAAAATTTGAAGTCAGGTATTGTGATGCCTTTAGCATTGGCTTTTTGGCTTAGGATTGCTTTGGCTATTCTGAGTCTTTTATTTTTCCAAATGAATTTTAGGACTTTTTTTTTTCTACTTCTGTGAAGAAAGTCATTGGTATTTTGATGGGGATTGCATTGAGTCTCCATATTGCTTTTGGTAGTTTGACCATTTTAACCATATTAATTCTGCCTATTCATGAGCATGGAAGGCCTTTTCATCTTGTGTCTTCTTCAATTTCTTTCTTTGGTGTTCTCTAGTTTTCACTGTAGATGTTTTTCACCCCATTGGTTAGATTTATTCCTAGATATTTTTTTTTTTTGAGGCTATTGTGAATGGGATTGTTTTCCTGATTTTTGTCTCAGCAGATCCATTGTTGGTGTGTAGGAAAGCTATTGATTTTACTATGTTGATTTTGTGATCTTCTACCTTGCTGAGTTTGTTTATTAGCTCTAGCAGTCTTTGGTGGAGTTTGTTTTGGATTTTCTAAGTATAGGATTTGCAGACAGTGATAATTTCACTTCTTCATTTCCTAACTTTATTCCTTTTATTTCTTTCTCTTGCCTAATTGACCTGGTTAGAATTTCTAACACCATGTTGAATAGCAGTGGTGAGAGTGGACATCCTTGTCTTGTTCCAGATTTTAAAGAAAATGCTTTCAGTTTTTCCCCATTTACTATGAGGTTGGCTTTGGGTTTTTTGAAGATAGCCTTCATGTTGTTGAGGTAGGTTCCTTTTATCCCTATTTTATTCTTTTTTTTTTTTTAATCATGAATGGGTCCTGAATTTTGTCAAAGGTTTTCTCTGCATCCACTGAAATGACTAAGTAATTTTTGTCTTACTTCTATTTATGTGATGAATTACATTTATTGTTTTGTATATGTTAAACCATCCTTGCATCTCTGGGATAAAACCAACTTGACCATTATATACAATCTTCTTAATATGTTGTTGATGCAATTTGTTAAGATTTTATTAAGAAATTTTGCATCTAAGTTCATCAGGGATAGTCTTTAGTTTTCTTTCCTTGATGTGTTTTTATCTGTTGTTGGTATGAGTGTGACACTGGCTTCATAGAATGAACTTGGAAGTGTTTCATCCTTTTCTATTCCATGGGATAATTTGAGGAGCAATGACATTAGTTATTCTTTTAAAAGTCTGGTAGAATTCAGCTGAAAATCCATCCATCTGGTCCTGGGATTTCTGTGTTGGAAGGTTATTACCGCTGATATCTCATTACTAGGTATTGGTCTGTTTAGATTATCTATGTCATTGTGGTTCAATTTTGGTAGGTTGCATGTGTCTAGATATGTATCCATTTCTTCTAGCTTTTCCAAATCATTGAAGTATAAGTTTTCAAAAATAGTCCCTCATGATCCCATGGATTCTGTGATGTCTGTGGTGATTTCTCCATTTTTACCTCTAATTTTAGTAATTTGGCTCTTCTCTCTCTTTCTTTTGGTTAGTTTGGCTAACAGCTTATCAGTCTTGTATATCTTTTCAAAGAACTAACCCTTCATTTCATTGATCCCTGTTATTGCTTATTTAGTCTCAATTTCATTGATTTTGGTTCTGATCTTCATTATTTCCTTCCTTCTACTGGTTTTGGAATTGGTTTTTAGAAGTTTCTCTCACCAAATGTTTTGTGACTTTCAGTATTGGGTTTTTAACACATCTTTTGTTAGATTTATTTTTATTCTTGATGGTTCTGTAAGTGATATTGTTTTTCTATTTTTATTCCATTTTCTAATTTGCTAGTATCTAGAAACATAATTAATGTTGGTCTCAAATCCAGTTACCTCACTAAAATTACTAATTAATTCTTATAGTTTATTTAGAAACTCTTTAAAAATTTCCGTAAATAATGGTAGTTATTAGGTTTATTTTTAAAAGTTTCTTTTTATTTTTTTAAGTTGTCAATGGACTTTATATTTTATTTATTTATATGCAATGCTGAGAATCAAATCCAGTGCCTCACACATGCTAGGCAAGTACTCTGCCACTGAGCCACAACCCCAGACCTAAAAATTTCTTTTCCTCACCTATTACATGGGCTAAGATTTACAGCAAATGTTAAATGAAAGAGGTGACAGTAGACATCTTTGTCTTGTTCTCCAATTGAATGGGAAGGATTTACCATTTCATATTTAAGTATAATGTGTGCCATTAGGTTTTTTGTTTGTTTGTATACTTAAGATTCATAAAGTTATTTTCCATAATTTTTCTGGGGGTTAAAAAATCTTGAACAGATATTGAATTTCAATTGTTGTAATTGCTTTTTCTGGATCAATTGAAGTTATCATGTTTTCCTCCTTTCTTCCTGTCAATGTGGTGACATACATTTTCTGATTTTTAAACGCTAAAAAGTTCTTGTTTTCCTGGAATAAGTCACACTTAGTCATGACATATTATCTCTTTTACCTGTTGCTGGATTTGAGTTGCTAATGTTTTGTTGGCATTTTTTCATCTATGTCAATGAGAGATATCGACCTATATTTTTTTATATATATATTTTGTAATGTCTTCGTCAGTTTTTTTGCATCGGGATTATGCTGTGGTTTTATATAGCAAGTGTGTTTTGTTTTCTTTAGTCATTGAAAGACTTTGAGTAAGTTTGATAATATTCTTCCTTAATTGTATGTTTTGAACAACTTGTGAATGAAGTCATCTAGATTGATTTTTTTTCTTGGCTGGGAGAATCATCTTGAAATGTTTTTACTTTTGATATTTTTTATTAGAGCATTATATTATACATAATATTGAGGTTCATTTTGACATAATCACACAAGCATGGGGTATAATTTGCTCCACTTCACTCTCCAGTACTTTCCCTTCCCTCTGTTCCCTTCTCTACTAAACCTATCTTCCTTCTATTTATTTATAGTGTTTTTAAAATGAGTGATTTATAGATATACAGAAATGTGAGATTCAGTGTGGTATATTCGTACTGTACACAGCATAATTTGGTCAATTTCATTCCATTGTTCCTCTCTTCCTGTCCTTCCTCCCTCTTTCTCAATCCCCTTCCTCTGCTCCACTGACGTCTTTTCTGTTTCCATAGGATGCCCCTATTTTGGTCTAGCTTCCACATATTAGAGAAAACATTTGACCCTTGGCTTTCTGAGTCTGGCTTATTTCACTTAGCATGATTTTTCCAATTCCCTTTACTTATCAGAAAATACCATAATTTCATTCATCTTTATGTCGGAGTAAAACTTCATTTTATGTATCTATTCATCTGTTGATGGGCACATGGGCTGGTTCCATAACTTGTTTTCGTGAGTTGTGCTGCCATAAACATTGATGTGCCTGTGTCACTATATTATGCTGATTTTAGTTCTTTTGGTGATCAGATGGTGGTTCCATTCCAAGTTTTTTGAGGAATCTCCATAGTGCTCTCCAGAATTTGCAGTTCCATCAAGAATGTTTAAGTGTACATTTCCCCACACATTCTTGCCGGTATTTATTATTATTTGTATTCTTGAGGATTGCCATTCTGCCTGGAGTGAGATGAAATCGCAGTTGAAATCTTGATTTTTTTTTCTACCATTGTATTTTTTTCCTCAGGATGTTTGCAATGGTCAAGAATAAGGAGATATTTTGTGATATATTTTTCAACCACTTCAAGAAAAATAAAGTGGAGATAGCAACTGCAATAACAAAGCTGTTTCCTTTCCTAGAGGGCCTCAGAGACCGATCCTTTATCACCGAACAAATCTATGCTGTAAGTGAGTTCATTACATCGCCCCACAGTAACCCAGTCCCACATTAATTCATGTTTGGCTTCGTGGATTCAAAGCTTAGTATGTCACTCACTGGCTGAGACGCCTTTTATGCTTTGTGTAGGAAGACCCCTTTATCTCCATCACCTGACGAGGCAGAAGATGACAGAACAGGAAGAGGTCATTACAGACACCTCTGTTTCTAACCAAAGCTCTTTTCTGAGGCATAGGTGGGGATGGGGATGGATGGTAATGGTGATATGACTCAATGAAATTCATAAGCAAGATTAAAATAATTAAGAGACTGGAGCTGTATTTTACTGTATTGTTCACATGTGTTCGATAAAATTCTGAGGGAATTTGTGCCATTATAAAACAGAATCATGCCTTGCTATTGTCTCCTGCAAGGCGTTTTAATTTTGCTAGGTGATTCTGCAGCCTTGGGGTTCAATAAGCTTGATCAGTGGGCCCACCTGGAGATATGGAGGGGGAAGCCATCTCTTCCATGTGGGACTGTGCCCTTCCCTTTGTGTTCTTCACAGCAAGGGCAGAGCCACCTCCCCACTCCTTAGAGCACTTCCAGGACTTCTCATACCCAAGATGGGGTGTTAGTGGAGGATGGGGAGGGTACAGTGATTGCCATGTTGTCAACAGAATTACTACAAATCCATTCTTGGAACGTCCTAGGCTGGATGAGAATTTGAAAGTCAAGAGACAGGGCTTACTTGTTCTTTTAAACAGGTGATCAAATATTCAAGAAGTTCTAAAATATTACATGAAAAATTATAGTTTAGTTGCACTGAGAAAATAGAGCTTCTATGTGATGACTTCCTCTGTTTGACTTCAAAGCTATGATTTATAAACTTTCCATTGATTTTTTTGAAAGGATTCTCAAGAAGCCTTTAGAAACTTGGTTCCTGTAGCCAGAGTGGTGTACCATGTTCTTGGCCACCTTGAGAAGGTGTTTGATTGGTCACTTCTACAAACCCTGTTCAGCAAAGTGAACCTGAAAGAGTACCCTGGCTTAATACAGATTTATAAAACCTTTGAAAATGGTAATGAATTCTCTCCTCTCCCTTTGGTGTCCAGCTCTACTTTTCATTCATTCACTTAACAAGCATTCATGAAAGGCTGGCTGTGTCCCAGGGCCTGCACTGGGCAGTGTGAACCTAACTAGTCTGGTGTCCTGGCCTCCCCTCATTGACCACATTCCAGGCTCCTGGTTAAGGCATCCCGGGACAATTCCCAGTGTAGGGGGTTCACTCCTGCTTTAGCTGCCAGAGTCCTGCCTTTGCTGCTGGGACCTGAGTCTCCCCTGTATTTCCTTCCCACATCCTCTGTTAGGTCTCTTTGGGATCTTTTCATTCTTCTTACCCAATGAAGCCCAAACTTTCTCCTTCTCTAACTCCATCTTTAAAGCCATTGACCTTTTTCTTTCATCCATATAGATCTCTCTAGGACCTTAGGCTTCTTCAGAAATCCCTGTTTCTTCCCTAAGGTTTAGACAATTCATAGGAATGTTCTGTCTGTAGAATTTTAATTGAGATAACCTTTCACTCCTTCCTGACCATCTTGTTGGGCTATTAATTATTTATGATTTTCCACTACTTCACCATCCTTAAAAACTGAGAGGTTCATCACCTACAGGATTTCAGAGGTTTTGTTTCTTCCCTTGGCTGTCCAAGAGGAAGGGATAAATTATTTTGAGTCTTGAGCCATAGAAATTGAGAGTTACCAAGGGTTAGGAACTCCCCACTGAAAAATAAGAATTCCCAGGTGCTCCCTCTGTGTAATTGTGAGGCGATATTCCCAATCTCTTGCCTGAAAACTCTATTTTTTCCCCTTTGTTCAGTGTTCCAAGAAAAATATGTTTCCCTAAGAAGTGACCCGGAAGGAAGGCAACAAACGTCCATCACTCAGCCAAGCCGTGAGCAAGGTACTTAGGACCGAGTACAAACTTGGTTTTCAGGTTGACTAAGAGGAAAAGGAGACCAGGGACTAAGCTGTGTGAGGAAGGATGGATGCTGGGGGGGAATCCAGGGGAGGTGGTGAAGGTAGATGAGTATTGATTTAGGTTGAATTCCAAAATGGCGTGACTCCGTGAGGTGGCAGAGAGACTTTCTGTCCAATAGTCTGTGGGTGGGGTGGACGGGGAATCTGATGAATGATGAGTTCAAGAGTACCTCTGCGGGAAGCTTCAAAGGGCTCAGAGTAGGGGCCTATCAAGAACAGTGTCCAAGAGGAGCCCTCGTGATGGCAGGAGAGACTGGCATAAATGTGGCAGCTGGGCTGGGGGGGGCAGCTCAGCGGTAGTGTGCCTGCCTAGCGCGTGCAGGGCCCTGGTTCAACCCCCAGCACCCCGTAGATCAACAATGAAACAAATGAACAAGTCAGTAATGAGGTGGTTGTTGTTCAAAAGCAGGAATGCTTCAGGAGAAAAGCTGACCCAAAGAGAGACCCAGAGGAAGGGGCAGAGGTTTGGGGAGAGGAGAGGGTGCTTGAAGAGAGAGAAGCGGGAAGGAGGGGAGAAGTGAAAGGGAGGGGTAAAGGATGCGCACAGGAAGGGGTAGAGAAGCTCGCTCTGACTGAGCCCACCCCGGCTTTTGTGGATTCTGTGCTCAGGCCGCTGCTGGAGGTGTTATCACTTACTGTCCTCTGGTCAGATGAGGAAGTTGAAATCTGGAGGGACCATGGACGGTATTTGCCTGGGGTCAAAGGAGCAAGGGAGAACCCAGGCATTCTGAACCCAGAACCTGCGTTCTTAGCCCCATGCTGCTGCCCGGGTTGTCTAATGAAAAAGGCAGAAACATGAAACCAAAGTACGGGAAGAGGTGCAGACAGAAAGATAAAGGAAACAGAGGATGCCCGGAGAGGGAGGAGTGAGGCAGACCAGTCGCTGATCCCCACTGGAGGTCACCAAGGAGGAGGCAGACCAGTCGCTGATCCTCCCTGGAGGTCACCAAGGAGGAGGCAGACCAGTCGCTGATCCTCCCTGGAGGTCACCAAGGAGGAGGCAGACCAGTCGCTGATCCCCACTGGAGGCCACCAAGGAGGAGCCACAGGCTGTGCCAGGAGGCTGTGGTGTGGGAGGGCGGGAACCAGGCGGCCAGGGCTTCTAGGAACTCAGGTAGGGCCATGGGGCAGGCCAGCTGGGGACAAAAGCAGGCCATCTCCAGGTGCCAGAGTAACTCACAGAGGACCCTAGTGAGGGGGCCCAGTGAGACCCTCAGACAGGGCTGCAGCTGACCCAGACCCCACTCTTGAGACTGAAGTCAGGAGGGAACTTCCAGCTCCAGATGAGTCTGGATTGACACTTTGAGGGGTCTCTACCATCTGCGTTGTAAAGACAAAAGAGAGAATGGCAAAACCCATCCTTCAGTTTCTGAGATCAACTTCTAATTTCTTCCCCTAGGAACGGTTGAGAACACGTTTCTGCGAAGACTGACCTGGCCACAGCACTCAGATCCCTCGTCTTACAATGGTCTGTTGCTGTTGCCTCTTGTGGGACCCTTTGCTGTCTTACTCCATTCTGGAATGTTCTGTGAGGCTGCTTCCTTGCGTGACTGATTGACCAGAACTTTCAGCCTTTGCATCTGTAGCTTCTCCAAGTTCGGGATGTAAATAGGAGGGTCTTGAGCCTCTGAGTTACCTAGGAAGGATTCTGGGCCTAAATAGTTGGTTAACTTATCAATGTATTAAAAATTTTGATTTTGATTCATAATGTCACGATGTCATATTTATGAAACCAGAATGTCATCTAGGAGCCATCCTGTTTGGAACTAGAACTAGAACCTCAGAACCTGTCTGGGATGTAAAGTCAAAGCGTATAAAGACAGAACAGCCTATCTGCAGCCCAGAGAAGGCTCTTGGAACTCAACAAGAAAATTATGACTGTGCCCAAGCAGGTAAGGCTGCTGATGTTCTGGCACTTACATGGTGACCAGTAGTGGGCACTATACTATAGTCAGGAGTAGGGGCCGAGTCACACGATCAATGTGAACCCCAAATGACAGCAGGAGAATGGACCAGTGTCCGGTGCAAGGAGCCAATGACATAACAAAAAAGAATACCTTACAATTCCTGAGGGGAGGACAGAAAAAATCCCAGAGACAGAGAAAATAGGATTGGAGACTGGAATAGAGAATGGGAGAGTTTGGAGGAAGGGAGTAGGCAACAGAGCACAGAGAGTGAGGAGTGAGCTGGGACTGTCTCTGGAGGTGAGGGAGAAGGGAAATGCGATGGCAGGAGAAGTCAGGGCGAGAGAAGCTGGTGGAGCCCAGGAAGCGAGAGGCTTTCCTTTGGTAGAAGCCGCAATGTCTGGATTCTGGTTCCTGGTGGCAAATTGAGAAGGAGAGAGAGAGAACGAATCTAACAAGGTGGAACGCAGCAGCTCAGAGCAGGACTTGGCCGGAGCCTGGCTGGGCTCCTTGGCGAGGAGTATGTCCTCTGTGGTGTCCAAGTGTCCAACCTCAGAGCTCCGGAGGGTCACACCGTGGTTATTTCTCAGCCATGGTGCTGGTCGCTCCTTTCCTTTGATCTCTTCAGTTGCTGGTGAATTCAGTGCTCTCCCAATGAAGAGAGAGGAAGGGTCAGAAGAGAAGCCCAGCCCCCTGCAGCGAGGTGGACAAGGTAACTGGGCCTGAATCCCACATCTAAACAAACTGTTACCTGATTAGATCACCGTGTGGAGGAAGAAAAGTCTTTCACCCCAACTCCCTGCGCCCCTCTTGGCTGAGAGCCACTGCTGCTGCCCCTAGATGCAGCCAAGCAGCCACACTAAGCTCGTGGGACAAGGCATGGTGAGGGCTGGGCATCACTGCTGCTGCCTCTGCAGCCTCCATACTTGGTAGGGCTGTCATTGTTGCAGTGACAGCCACCCTGGTTCTTTGGCAGCTGAGGCAGCGCTGCTTTAAATAGAGCTGCTCACTGGGTTGCCCTCAAGACATTTGTGGGGATTTTCCACCACCTCCTGCAGTGGTGGTGGTTAGTACCTCCCCCACCTCATGACAGCTGACTGCAGAAGACTCAGCACCCGTGTGCAAACCCCAGTGCTGAGAGCTCAGAGTGGCACGATGGTGCAGAAATTCTGCGTTTAGCAGCTAACTGTGCGCCTGCGGGAGCCCACCCCTTTGGCCTATATAAGCTTGGTTTTTCTCATCTTTTGAGTGTCAGTCCGGGAAAGCTCCATCCCAGGTACTACCTCCCTTGTGCTGCAGCAAAAGCCCCAGTTAAGTTCATTCAGATGCTTTGATTTTGCCTATTCATGATTTCTATCTCAGACTGCATCCTCATCGGCCAAGCTGGTCACACTAGGAGCTGTTAACACTGAAGGCTGGTGAGGGGGGTTGCCAGCTCTCGGAGTTGTTAACGCTAAGAGCTGAGAGCTGATCCACCTGCAATTTATAACAGCTTCCATCTTCCTTAGCCAAGTGGCCCCAGTTACATGTTGCCAGCCCAGACCTGTCCTCTCAGCTCACCCACCTAATAACCTGAAATCTCCCCATGAACCATCTTGCTTGGATGCCTTCCAGAAATCTCAGGTTCAGTGCTACCAAAAGGGAGCTCATCATCTTGCGTGAAACTAGGTCCCCCTCCACCTGATCCTCCTCCTTCTCCTTTGCCAGGGTTTTCTCTTTGGTAATGTGGACAAGTGTCCAGTTTTTCAAGCAAAATCTCAGGAATTCTCCTAAGTCCTTCTGTCCTCCAGCTTCAGGTCCCATCAGTCACTCTGTCCTGAGGGCGTGACCTGGCAATAACATGGCCATTTTTTCTTTCTGTTGCCAGGACTGTAATACAAATCAGATTGCTGATAACTCTCTCTTGAACTTCAGCTGAGGTGCTTACAGAAGTATGGATGTGTTCACGCCACTTTTCTACCTGAACCCCAGTGTCTTTAACAAAGCTTGGGATTCATGGAATGTCCTTCACTAGGCTCCCAAGGCTCAGGCCACACAATCCTTCCTGTTTCCCCAGCCTCTATTCTTTCACTCCAAGAAGTCCTGCTGAGCCCCGTGATACTCCAGTTGCTTTTGCCCTCACTCTGTCTTCTATTTGGATCTGTTTTCTTGGCTTCTTCCCTAATTTGGCAGTCTCCTGCCTACGTGATACTTCCTTCGGAAAGCCTCTTCCTGGTCTCACCCAGGACTGCAGGTTTGCAGAGTGCTTCTCACCTCCTATGAGGCAGCACTCACTGTGCCAAAGTGGTGAGCATGTGCCATCTGTGGTGGACTGTGTGATCACGAGGCAGGGACCACATCTGACCTCTTCCTGCTGTGTCCTCTGAACCTAGCACGGGATCTGGCACATAATAAAACCTCAATTACTATTTATCAGGAAATGAAAGTATTCATATTTCGGTACCCTGAAAATTGGACACATATTTTGGTAAACATGATACTATTGATGTATTCATATCGGAAGCTTTACAAAAACAGTTTTAAGGATTGTATTTATACTTAGAGTTGTCCCTCAGTATCAGTTATTCCTCCCCATGGATACCAAAATCAGGGATGCTTGAGTCCCTTATATAAAATATCATAGTATTTGCCTATACAAATGCTCTGGTATACTTTAAATTATCTCCAGACAACTCGTAATACCTAATACACTATAAGTGCAATGTAGTTGGTTTACTCTATTGTCTAGGAGATAATGATGAGAAAAATAAGCTTATACATGTTGAGTATAGATATATTTTCCCAAGTATTTTTGACCTGTGTTTGATTGAATCTGTGGATGCAGAACCCCCAAATTGGAGGGTCCACAGTATATGTAACAAACTACCTTTGTGAAAATTATCATAAGAATTAAGAACTTAAGATCTTTTTTTATTATTTGCTCTTTTTAGTTATATATGACAGTAGAACATTTTGACATATTAAACTTACATGGAGTATAACTTCCATAAGGTGGTTGTACGTGATGTGGAGTTACCATGGTCGTATATTCAATATGAACATAGAAAAGTCATGTCTGATTCATTCTACTGTCTTTCCTATTCCCATCCCCCTGCCCTTCCCCTCTTTCCCCCATTTATTGTTACTTGTATTCTTGATGATTGCCATTCTGACTGGAGTGAGATGAAATCTCAGTGTAGTATTAATTTGCATTTCTCTAATTGCTAGAGACGTTGAATATTTTTTCATATATTGATCTTATTTCTTCTTCTGTGAAGTGTGTATTGTGTTCCTTTGCCCATTTGTTGATTGGGTTATTTGGTTTTTGTGTGTGTGTGTTTGTTAACTTTTTTGAGTTCTTAAATATATCCTGGGGATTAATGCTCTGTCTGAGGCGCAGGTGGCGAATGTTTTCTCCCATTGTGTAGGCTCTCTCTTCACATTCTTGATGGTTTCCTTTGCTGTGAAGAAGCTTTTCAGTTTGAATCCATTCCATTTATTGATTCTTGATTTTACTTCTTGTGCTTTAGGAGTCTTGTTGAGGAATTTGAGAACTTAAGATCTTAATCAAGTTGAGAATTAAGTTAGTTATATTAAAACATCAAGTTTGGCCAAGATAATTATCAGTAAGTAGATGAGTACAGCAGGTAAAGGTGAAAGAGGGGAAAAAAAAAAAACATGCAGAGTTCAGGGTGAAAAGGGAAGCACTTGAGAAGGTGGGACAGAAAGCAAGGTGCAGATGGAGTGGAGATGAGGCCAGGAGGTGAAGTCGGCAGTAGAGTCAACCCCTGGCATCAAGTGCAGGGAGAGGGCAGGATACCACGCGGCTTTGGATTTATACATTGCATTTATAGTGTATTAGGTATTATGAGTTGTCTGGAGATAAGCGGCTTTTTAAGGGGGACAGATACAAATTCTTTAAGAATCACTCTTTGTTGTAGGGGCAAGGCGATGCAGATACGAGGATCTGGTGCCCACTTCCCTTGTGAGTCCGGAGGACCAGCAGAAGGCAAGGACCATGCAGAGCCAAGTGGACGAAATCATAGGTAAGACTGACAGGTCACCTGGGACCCTGTGAGTGACCCCAAAGGTGACCGCCTGGGCATGTCGTTGGAGGCCAGTCGGTGGCCTGGAGAGCACAGGATGAATGCAGAGAGACCTGGACTCTGGCGCTCAGTCCAGAGAACTTTGACTCAACAAGGCAAGTTTGTGGGGAATGAGAATGTACCCAGAGACCTGCGAGGGGCGGGGAATAGCAAAGAGGACATATATCGGCAAGGATGCCAGGTGTGTGCGGGGTAGAGGTGTGAGGATAAAGAAGGGCAGAAACAGGAGGCACCCGACAGGGAACACAGAGGCGGAGAAGACAAGGAAGTGGGAGCTGGCAGAGGCCAGGAAGTGGGTAGAGACAGCTGGAAAGGAAGAGGAGAGTGAGGGAGAGGGAAATGGAGATCAAGACAATCAAGGCTGGCCAGTGACCATCTTGGCGTGCAATGGCAGAAACCAGAAAGATCACAGGAGCCGAGCCATTCCTGCCTAACAGTCACCCAAGCTTCTGAGTCTTCTCCGGTGTCCCTGTGTTATGTATGGGTGTCAAGCTGTGCTGGCTTCTGAGTCACACTGACGTCCCTCACAGATTTGTTTCTCTGCAGTTATCAGCAGTGAGGACTCGCAATCCAGTGACGAGGAAGAGCCCCAGGTGTCTCCTGCTCAGCACCAAGGTGCAGGATTCAGGCGGGTGAGGAGGGCGCGGACCTCTGCCCCGGACTCCAGGATCTTAGAGCTCCTGCTTGCTGGTGCACATGGCTCGGAGGGCACTACCAGCCAGGGCCCTGCTAACCCTGGGCGCCCATTCTTCACACTTGCCTCGGCTGGCCCTTTGGGAAACGTGGGAAGGCAGGGCGGTTCTCCCTGACTGCTGCCTTCACGTCTGAATGTCCGCGTAGAGACAGGATGTATGTTTCTGTTTTACACCTTTTTCCTTCACGTGGTTGTACATATGATAGTATAACAAAAATTACATAATTTGTCTTTGTCTCCAGTTCTTGATCCAGAGTGGTAAAACCTCTGGAATTTCCAGTGAGAAGAGCATCTTTTAAAAATCAAGCATATGATTACAGGGTTAGATCTTTCAGCCCCACTTCTCGACCTCTGGGGAGAAGAGAGGAATGGAAGATTGAGTGCATCAACAATGGCCAATAATAAAATGTCATGTCTGCACAATGACAGCTCAGAAAAGCCCCTGAACAATGGGGTTCAGGGGCTTCCTAGTTGGTGAAGTCACCGATGTGCTGGGAGCTGAAGAGAGCACACACCTCTCCTTCCCCTGCCCCCCCCCCCCCCACTGTCTGCTACACACATACCTTGCTCTACCATTTGGCTGTTTCAGAGTTGTATTCTTTATAATAAAGCCACAATCACCTAAAACTCTTTTTTGAGTTAATGTAAGTCATTCTGATTCTCTAACCTGAAAAGGGGAGGGTCCTGGGAACTCCCAAATATGTAGGCTGCTAGACAAAAATGTGGGTGACCTGATCACAGGGCTTCTTATACTAGACTCTTTCCAGCCATGGGCCTCTGTTGTCACTGATAACAACTGGGTCATGATTCTGAGTCAATCTTGTCTTTTCCATTCATACTTTATTTTTATTTATTTTTGTTAGGAACGTGAGAATTCTTGTTTATTTATTTATTCTAATTAGGTATATACAACAGCAGAATGCATTTTGGTTCATTGTATACAATTGCAGCTCAACTTTTCATTTCTCTGGTTGTACCTGATGATGGCATCACACCATATGTGCAGTCACACATGTACCTAGGGTAATGAAGATCATCTCATTCCACCATCTTTCCCGCCCCCATATGCCCTCCCATCCCTCCCTCTCCTTTGCCCAATCACAGTTCCTTCATTTTACCATGTCCCCCCACCTCCCATTATGGATCAGCATCCATATATCAGAGAGAGCATTTGGCCTTTGGGTTTTGGGGATTGACTTACTTCACTTAGCATGATATTTTCCACCTCCATCCATTTACCTGCAAATTCCATAATTATATTATCTTTTAATGCTGAGTAATATTCCATTATGTATATACCACAATTTATTTATCCATTCATCTATTGAAGGGCATATAGGTTGGTTCCACAGTTTAGCCATTGTGAATTGAGCTGTTATAAACATTGATGTGGCTGCATTACTATAATATGCTGATTTTAAGTCCTCTGTGTATAGACTGAGGAGTGGGATAGCTGGGTCATATGGTGGTTCCATTCCAAGTTTTCTAAGGAGTCTCCATACTGCTTCCCAGATTGTCTGCACCAATTTGCAGTCCCACCAGCAATGTATTGAGTATGCCTTTTCCCCCACATTTTCTCCAACACTTATTGTTGTTTGTATTCTTGATAACTGTCATTCTGACTGGTGTGAGATGAAATCTTACAGTAATTTTGATTTGCATTTCTCTAATTGCTAGAGATGTTGAATATACAGATTCAATGTGATTCCAATTAAAATCCCAATGTCATTCCTTATAGAAATAAAAAAAGCAATCATGAAATTTATTTGGAAAAATAAGAGATCCAGAATAGCCAAAGCAATCCTTAGTAAGAAGATTGAAGCAGGAGGCATCACAATACTAGATCTTAAACTATAATACAAAGCTATAGTAACAAAATGGCATGGTATTGGCACCAAAATAGACATGTAGACCAATGACACAGAATAGAAGACACAGAGACAAACCAACATAAATACAATTATCTCATCCTAGACAAAGGGGCCAAAAACATACATTAGAGAAAAGATAGCCTCTTCAACAAATGTTGCTGGGAAAACTGAAAAGTCGTATGTAGTAAAATGAAACTAAAACCCTATCTCTCACCATGCACAAAACTCAACTCAAAGTGGATCAAGGACCTAGGAATTAGACCAGAGACCCTGTGCCTAATAGAGGAAAGAATAGGCCCAAATATTCATCATGTTGGATTAGGCCCTGACCTCCTTAAGAAGATTCCTAAAGTGAAAGAAATAAAATCAAGAATCAGCAAATGGGATGGATTCAAACTAAAAATCTTCTTCTCAGCAAAAGAAACAATCAATGAGCTGAAGAGAGAGCCTACATTTTGGGAGCAAATTTTTGCCACGTGCATGTCAGATAGACCCCTAATCTCCAGGATATATTAAGAACTCAAAAAACCTAACACCAAAAAAAGAACAACCCAATCAATAAATCAGCCAAGGAACTGAACAGACACTTCTCAGAAGAAGATATACAATCAATCAACAAATATATTAAAAACATGTTCAACATACTTTATTTTTGATCAGGAAGAGTGAGCCAGAGGTAGAGAATCTCATCTCTTTGTGGCTGTCTGAACTGGGGGCCGTCTTGTGAGACTGAACTTTAAACTTGTGGGGCCCATGCTAACCCAGGGTAGTTAACCTCAGAATTGAATCAAGTTGTTGGGTGCTCAGTTTGGGTCAGAAAATTGGAGAATTGACTGGTATTGGAATGACGTATCTGTTATTGAAAAGGACATCACTCATTTGGTGCTAGAAAGAAATCACATACCTGTTCATACTGATACCATCTGCAAATAATAAAAAATTAAGTGACTTTTGTGATTTGTTTTCAATGCCACAAACATCAACAGATATAACCCCTGTTATTTAACCTCTTCCCTTGAAGTCCCTGTTTGAAAGGCTCTTCATATGCTCTCAAAATGTGAAAGTCAGAGTCCTGCTGAATGATTCGCTATTGTCACACATGAGCTCCATCTTCCCAGCCTGTGATGTGCTTCCTGCCTGGCTGTTATCCACCTGTGAAGCCACTGCTACATATCTCAGGTTTCTGTGTGGCATACTCTCCCAGCACAATGTTTTTTAGTAAATCATGGGATAACTCCTGTAAGAAATAGGCTCCCAAATGTTTATTGGCTCAAACAGTAAAGGTTCTATTCTTGCTCACACAATCAGTGTAAGGTTGTGTTGCCCTTTAAAGAAAAGGTGGGCAATAAAACACCATGTCTCTGAATGTCCATTTCCGTTCCCCCAAACCTAGTCACGTTAAGGGAAGAATGAGAGCAATTCTGGTGAGAATGTCCAATAACAGTGTTTGGCTTTCTCTCACGTTTGCTGGGAATTCTAAAGCTGATTTTATGCACATATGTCAGAACCGTTGCTCCTTGGGAGGCTGGTCAGACCAGGAGCAGCACCCTAAGGCTGATGATCCACTACCTCTGTAGCCGTCCTCTTTCCTGTGGTGACTGGTGGAGAGGGGAGTGCCCATCCAGGTAGCTGCATGTGGACAAGGCATGGGAATGAATCGAAGGCATTACTTTCTGGTAAGGTGCTGGAGGCACTGCATGCAGCAGAGGTCCACCCGTCTAGCCTGTTACCATGGAACCTTCTGGCAAAACACCTGTCTAGTCCATCACCACTGGACTTTCTGCCAAAGTACCTGTCTGGCCCATAACCACGAACCTCCCTGTAAGCATTTCTCATCAACCCTACATCTCATATCCCATCTCCAGGCTCTTCCTTGGTCTCTTGGCAACCTATTGCACTCCCCTAGCACAACTGGGCATAGACAGTACAAAGGTGGTTCTTGGTGTTGGGGGGTTTTGCTCCACTTAGCTATTTAGGGACTCTGGCTGACAGAGGTTCCAACATCTTCAGCACATGGCTTCCAACATCTTCATGGGAGGAAGAGGCAGCGACATGTCAAACATATGGGGGCAAGTGGTCCGGCAAAAGGGAAGAGCAGGGTGTGAGAAGAGGGAGTGGGGTTCAGTGGAGATACTCCATGTGGGGGAGATGTGTTACTTTTCAGTACTAGGGACTTAAACAACATTAGGCCCAAATTAATTCAAAGGCAGGCCAAGATGACCCTGTGAGATCCCAAGTCAGTTTTTTTTTAAAATAATTTTTTAGCTCTAGATGGACACAATACCTTTATTTATTCTTATGTGGTGCTGAGGATCGAACCCAGTGCCTCACTCGTGCTAGGCAAGTAAGTGCTCTACCACTGAACCACAATCCCAGCCCCCAAGCTAATTTTTAGTGTTTTTTTTTTTTTGAGCATACCTTCTGGGGTACTCCATTATCACACTCTGAGACTAGTCTGAGACTATGAGGGCTTTCATCCTTTGTGCAATGGTTAGAAGAGATAACCCTGTGGATTCTGTTACAAAAGAAGAACCCAGGTACCTTTAACCTATAGCCAATAATTAAAAAGGTAAACCATCTGTTGGAAATTGCCCATTTGTATCCACAGATAATATTCTTGAAGTGGATTTACATTAGCCAGGGATTCCATTTTCTATGTTTTCGTTACTTAAAATGCAAGAAGGCGAGAATTCTGAATTGATTATTCAGAATAAATTCACATTGGCCTTATGAACTGCATATATGTGGTAATCTTCTGGAGAAAAGAGTATTGGAGGCAATGCATATCTTTATGCCTGCAAATACTAGAACATTAAAATTGCCTTCCATGTTCTATAGACCACGGAACACTGCATTCTTCTGTTAATCCATTATGTCCCATTGTTCTATAAAGGATTGAAAACCTGTGACTTAATGGGTTAATGGAAAACTTGAAAGAAACTTTCTAGGTAAGAAGTTCTGCTATTTAGTTACTGCTAAAAATATAATCTTTTAGTTCACCCACCGGAACTCCAGATTATATTATTGACAAGGATTCTCCAGAATGAGATTGGTTTAGTATAGAGATTTTCAAATCAATTTTGTAAAATCCAATAACCTAAAGAAGTTGGCAGGGGAACTGGTATTACAGTGAAAACTGAAGCTTGTAAATATTTAAAGGATCTTGACAAATCAACATGGAAAATTCGAGGTAGAGCCAGGACTTTGATCATTCAGAATTCATTCCATCATTGTTTGTTTTGAGCTTCTTTTTTTTTTTTTCCATAAGAAAAGTAGAGACAAAGCATCATTATGATGTCAATTCTGTCTGCCATGTGAGTTGTTGCCTAATTTCCTACTCTTTTCAAGTTCCTGTTTTTAACCTTCCCTGGTTCATTTTCTAGATCCCATGAAGCAGGCGACAAAGTAGAAAACAAACTCACTTTGGAAAATGCAATTATGAAATACCCAACAGCAAATAAGAACTTATAGTGTTACAATGAGCATTTCTTTTCCTAGAGAAAACAGATTCAAATTTTTATATGTTTTCCAATTAGAAATACTTTTGTTTTGGCTTTAGATGGTCACACGATACACTCTGTAATGGTTAGGGTAGGCCGTCTACCCTGGTCAAGGAATATAGTGTGCCATGACTCAGGTTCTGTGGATGTGGATTTTTTCCACCTAAGAGGGGCCAGGATGGCAGCACAGCTCTCCTCCTTGTCCCTCGGGGCCCAGTTTGACGAAGGGAGGTATTGCTGTTTTTGACTTACTGCATCATGACCACCCTGGGTGGACATCCCTCCTCCCAGGGGACAGAGCATGGCAGACCTATGGGCCAGGCTTTGGCATCGCCTCTCCCACTTCTGCCCACGTTCCTTCACTGGATGCCCATGGCGATGGCTAATGAGGAGTGCGGGGCTGATCTTTGGGGAATGTGGGTTAGCTGCGTGCTCAGGAAGAGGAGGAGAACTTGGATTTTGGCATTTATAGAGAGTTCTCTGCAATGCCTTTTAAAGAGCCTATATATGTTTTTTTTTTTCTTTTTGCTGTATTACAACACATCTTGATGTAAAAACAAATGATGATATCTTACACATTCTACTTTCTTCAGAAAATCTAGAGTAAATAATCCCATAATATTCAATATTGCAGATGAAAAAATAGAACAATTTAGAAAACTGCTGAAATTATCAAATGAAATTGACTAATACCTGATTGAAAAATTCAGGATTTCTCAGAGGTTAATACGAAGTCAAAAGTGATGGATACAATGTAAATTGTTTGTGCTTGTCCCAGGCTGTTGATAAACCCTCAGCCAGTCCTCTTCATTGCTTACATCTGTGGTTTTCAGAACCAATAAGCTTTTCCCCTGCTCCTAGGCCAGCTTCATAACACCCCATCCAGATGATTAAATATAGAGCAGACCTATGCAAAGTGTCATACTGATCTGATAGTGATACTTCTATACCATACTTGGAAACTTCCATAATAAATTCTTCCTCCAGAGGAACAAAAAGCAATTTTCATGTTGCTGTTATTTAGAATTATTCTCTTGCTTGAATTAGCATTTTATGTACAGAATTCTCTCTCTCTCTCTCTCTCTCTCTCTCTCTCTCTCTCTCTCTCTCTTTTCTTTTGCATGGGGGATTGGTTACTGGGGATTGAACCCAGTGGTGCTTACCCACTGAATCACAACCTCAGCTCTTTTAATTTTTTTATTTTGAGACAAGGTCTTGCTAAGTTGCTCAGGGCCTTACTAAATTGCTGAGGCTGGCTTTGAATTTATGATCCTCTTGCCTCAGCCTCCCCAGCTGCTGGGGTTACAGGTGTGCATCACTGTACCTGGCTACACACAGAATTCTTACTATGTGTAGTTATGATAACTTCATGTGTTTCTGGAATGATTTAAAAAAATATACATTCATAAACTCACTTAATCTTCAAAATTACATACTCCAGTGATGAAATTTCATTATTCAAAAGGTGAAATGGTGCATTGCGGACTTAATTTTGACACTGAGGTTGGGGTTTTTCCCTGAAGGCTGTAGTGGATGCTCTGAACCACTAATACTAATACATGATACTCTGTCCACAGCCAGAAGACAGTGGATCTGGGAAGCCATTAGGCAAGGCTGACAGATTTGTCTGGTAAAGAAACATGGAACCATTTAGGATTCAGTTTATTACTTGCAAAAATAGCAAAATCAAGAAAAGCAAAGGTGCCAGCTCCCCATGTCCTTATTGACAAAATTGCCGAATGATGCAGTTCTCAGAATGCATCCTGCTATTAAATGACACCTGACTGTATATACATGTTAATAAGCTGTTTTTCTTTTCTCTTGTTAACCTGTTCATTGTGACAGGCAACCATGATAAATACTTCGAAGGGTAGAGGGAAATTACTTTTTCCTTGTCTGTGTGCAAGCGTCTAAGAGCCAGTCCCCAAGAGCCAAGAATCGTCAAGGCTTCAAACAGCCTCTGGAAGCTAAAAAACAATCACTGAAGGGCTTAATATAAGATTTGAATCAATGAAAAGACATGATGTGATCCCTTATAGAAAGATTGGATACCTTTAATCGTAATTTTCACTCTAAATTACTCAATTAGAGACTTGGGTAAGACAGTTTTAAGTTTTATTAAAAAAAGGAACAATAACAATAATAAAAAATGAAAAAAGAATTGTGACATGAGGTTATTTGTACAGGAACAGGCAGAGTGAATAGAGGACCATCAGAGCACCATGTCACTAGTGACACAACCAGAGGGTCCCCAGGGGGTACACAGACATGGACTATGTTAACATAATAATGTGCTTAAACTGACAGATGCTCTCGCTTGTTTCTTGGATTGAAAAAATGTTTTTGAAATACTTCTCGAATATGGCTTCTATCTTAAGCGGCAGCTGGATGAATTTGTGGTTCTGGAAAAGCAAAAACAATAACCTTCTTAGCCATTGTTCAATGAGCCTAGACTCCCAGTCTCAGGTACTCCAGAGCCTCATTTAGACTCCTTCAGACGTCAAGTGAGAATCAACCCAGTCAAGAGGAGTTTATATTCCCTGATAGCTTGATTATTTCTTTTTGTTGGGAAGACAGAGAAGCAAAAATAGCACTACAGGTTGAATGTCCTTCATCTGAAATGCTTGGGATCAGAAGTGTTTTAGATTTTTTTTTTTCAGATTTTGGAATATTAGGATGTACACAATGAGATGTCTTGAGGATAGAACCTGAGCCTAAACACAAACTTCATTTATGTTTCATATAAACCTGCTATGGATAGCTCAAAGGTAATTATATGCAATATATTTAATAACTTTATACATGAAACAAAATTTCATGCTGTGGAATTTTTCACCCATGATGTCATATTGTCCCTCAAAACATTTCAAATTTTGGACTATTTCATATTTTGAATTTTGATGTTCCACCTGTAGATCACGCTCTAATTCTTATTCAGAAAATCATCAATTTAATTTTTTAAAACATTCTTGCTATTTGATTTTTTTTTGCTGTTTGATTTTTAAAGACAATATTATTCATAACAGCAAAATATTGCAGAAATATCCAAGGCCAATCAATGGTGTCTTCTTATTTCCTTCACAGTTATTCTTTGGAAATCCTTGTTAGCTTTTCGATAATGGCACCAGGAAATTCTGATGGAAAGTGTTATGGTTTGTATGTGAGGTGTCCCCCAAAAAGCTCACGTGTAAGACAGTGCAAGAAGGTTCAGAGGACAAATGATTGGGTTGTAGGACTCTTAACACAATCAGTGATTTAATCCCCTGATTGGGATTAACTGAGTGGTAACTGAAGTGGTGGGGTGTGGCTGGAGGAGGTGGGAATTGGGGCGTGGCTTTGGGTGTCTATTTGTATCTGCAGAGTGGAGTCTCCGCTTCTTGATCACTGATGTGAGCTGCTTCCCTCCGCCACACTCCCCAGCTATGATGTCCTTCCTGCCTCACCTCAAGCCCCAAGGAATGGAGCCATCTGTCAACCTTTGAAACTGTGAGCTCTCAAATAAACTTTTCCTTCTCTATAGGTGTTCTGGTCAGATCCTTTGGTCACAGCAGTGAAAAAACCTGACTAAACACCTGACTAAAAAGAAATCCAAGATTTTGAAATTTGAGAAATTCAGTTTGCTATCTTCTTTTAGAGAAGAGCAAGACTAGATGACTTTAAAATACACTTCTACTTCCTGTGGAAGATAATGGGTCTGCAGGGCCAGTTCTTCATGGGCAAGAATCAATAGTCTCCAATCGAGCAGACTCGGAGTCCTAGGGTGGTGTCTGCAATAGCATCTGTTGGTTTGTTGTTATTTTTCCCACTTGTGCCACAGGGCTCTTAGAATATTTCCAGAATTTTTGCTGCTATAGGCTTGCCACATGGGAGGGCAACTTTACCTGATATAAAATGAAAGGCAAAGTTACTTAAAGAGAAGGGTTAGCAGGGGACCACTCACTCTGTAGAAGGCCTTGTTGTTCAGAAAGATGAGGCGCATGTCCCGCACAAACCCCTCCACTCGGTGGTACTTCTTCTTATTCAGCCTTTCCTTGACCTTGTTTAACCACATGTGCTCCTGGGGGTCTTGAGTCTGTTGAGGAGAACATGAAGGGGGGGCCATTAGCATGGTCCAGGCCTGCCTCCCACACATCCCAAACACTATGGTCTGAACGTTTGTGACCCCACTTTCTCCAGTTTTTGTTCCAAAATGCTAACCCTCGCATGATGGTGTTAGGAGGTGAGTCTTGGGGAGCTAATTATGTTAGGAAGGTGGAGCCCTCAAGAGTGGATTTGTGTCCTTATTAAGACTCCAGGAGGTACCCCCCTCCTTTCCACTAGGTGAGAACACAGTGAGAAGTGGCCCTCTGTAGCTTCTCCAGAACCCCCCAGGCCGGCACCCGGGCCTCAGACTTCCAGATAAATTTCTGTTGCTTCTAAACCCATTAGTCTGTGGTAATTTGTTAGGACAGACTGAACAAAGACAAGGCAAAGATGATGGGAGCTTGGACTCATAGGATTCAGATCACAAGTTTGACTAATGCAAGTTTCTGGCTTTGTTGCTGTTACTTACATAATATGGTTCTTGGGCAAAAAAGGCACTTTGTGAATAACAATAGACCTTCAATAGGATCAGCTCACATTTCTGTAAAAGACAGAGGAGATTTTAAGGAAAAGGTAGCATGGAGAGAAAGAGCCTGAAGGCTGTCTAGAGAGAATGCATGGCTCTCAGACCTGCGGGCTCTTTGAAATAAAAAGGGAATGGGGATTTTCTCTGGAATGTGAATTTTGGTGGTAGGACAAGTAGTCAAAACACATCACGGGCCAGTGATTGCCATGGAGCACCATTTCTCCCACCTCTGCCAGTCTGTGCTTCTCTGTGTGAACAGAAAGGAGGGGGCTTCAGGGTCACACTGACTTACCAGCTGTTCCTCAGGCAGCATAGGCCTCTTCAAGACCTCAGATTCCAGATGACATGGTTGGCTTTCTGGGTGCTTTTCCCAGGCTTTTGTCCTGCATAAGGTGCAGCTCCACTGGCTCCTGAGAGGTCAGGTGTAAAGTGAGCAAGGGCACCGTCTGTGAACCAGCCACCGTTCCCATGGCTGCTAAAGTTCAAGAGTGTCTAGTAGTTTCTGCCATGTATCCAACGTCCATATAGCCAAGGACATCCCCTTCCATCAATAGTGGTCACAGGGTGACAGTGTGTTGACTGAGATGCCCCAGGGAGTGGTGGACTCTTGTCACCTCAAAACTTGGAATTCCCATCTGAGTCACTGTGAGCCTTGGTCAACTATTGGAATTTAGTACTTTAAGCCCAGAAGTTCTGGAACTTGATGAGTCAATCAGACCTTAGTTGAAATCAGGAAACCAGCTCCCATTTCTCAATTGGGCAGAGTAAGCACAGCGCACAGGCTAAGGCAGCCTCTCCTCTATCTGTGCCAGAGCTGTACCTAGAATCTGAGCTGCAGAAACTTCTTGGAAGGGAAATCTACTGACAGGGTGTCAGATGGCTTCCATTTGCCCCAGGATTCATTCTCTAATCTCTTCCAGGTTCTAGGAGGTGCTAGGAGGATCTTGGTAAATCAGGTGGACACAATGACCCATCCTAGCAATGTCAGCCTCTTCTTGGCCACCCAGTGCTTACTCAAGGGGCCCATTATGTGCCCATGGTGAAGAGATGGGAACTATAAGTGGGTTGGACAAAAGAGCTTCTGTTTTCTGCCTCTGCAGATTGCCCAACCAGTCAAAAGCAGAGGCTTAAACTGATCCTCTGAGATGTTGTACTAGGAGCAGGGGACCACATCACAGAAGGGCAGTGCTCTGTCCCCACAGGGACAGTCACATTCCTGGTAGAGATCATTCTCCTGGCCACCATAATTCTGCCCACAAAACCATTCCCAGAACCCCTTATCGACCTCTGTGGAGTCATGCACCCCATCACCTCTGTCCAAATACACTCAGCAAAAGAAGTGCATCCTAGGGGGTTAACACCGACAGAAGTCACGGGTCTTTTTAATGTGACCGGTTACCCAGATTCAATTGGCTTGATAGACTGTTGGGCTGGACTTCTGAAGGCTCATTACAGAACCAGCTTGATCAACTTTGCAATGTTCCCACAGCAGATGATATATGCCTAACATCAGCAGTCAGTTTCGGATATTACTGCCTGTCAGAGTGCACGGTCTGGGAACCAAGTAGAAGAGGTGGGAGTGACAGGCAGCTCTTACTACTATACCCAATAGGGGCTGGGATTGTGGCTCAGCGGTAGAGCGCTTGCCTAGCATGGGCGGGACCCGGGTTCGATTCTCAGCACCACATAAAAATAAAGGCATTGTGTTGTGTCCATCTACACCTAAAAAATAAATATTAAAAAAAAGAGGTGGGAGTGACAGCTCTTACTATTATACCTAATAACCACTTGCAAAGAACTTTTGCTTTCCATGAAATCTACTGTTGCCAGCACCATTAAATAGCTCTGGATGATGCTTTTGGATCTTGAGATGCTAAGCATCCTGCTCCTTCTGCATCAGGGTGCACCCTACCAGTGACAGAAGCTCTGCAGGGTATGTGTGCATGGTGAAAGGAACCATACCCCAAGAAGAAAGGACAAGGGGTGTGGATGAAGGTGCTTTACCAACCTCTGAGCATCTACTGGTGGGATGTGGCAGTTCTGATGGTATGATCTTGAACAAGTATTGCAGAAGACCAGCTGTTTCTCTTGGCGGCATACTTCGCACTTATTTGAGTTTTTTTGCTAGAAGGGAAATGGTGTAGACATCTCTGGGATTTGTGAGACCCAGAAAGTTAACACGTTGGGATTCCAGAGTGTGTGGGCTTTCCATGTACCAAGGTGACGCTTATAAACCTCTCTCCTCAAAATATTAAGAAACAATATTGAGTGGAGATTTTATAAGAGGACATTCTGGTCTACCACAAAGTTCAGAAGACAGTTGCTATGTGCCACACCAGAATATTTTTCTTCATGAAAACAGTGATTCTGACATGGAATAGCTTGCAACAATAGCATCAAAAAAGGATGAATTAAAAATAATCTGATATACTTATTATGTGTCTGGTAAAGTCTGGTCCAGGAACACAGTGTCTTATCTAGCTGTCTATTTTTAAAATTGACTCAACGAAGGGTGAGTCAATTAAATTAATGAAATTTAATGAGATGGAATAAACTTCTGAGATATCATTGTATCCCATAGTCTTGGCCATAAGCTCCCCAGGAGTTGAAGAAAGGGTCTGGTAAGAAGGCCCTAGACTGTGGGTTCTATGTCTGGTGGGCCCTGGACCTGTGGCAATACCATTGGGTGGAAGGACCATGGGTGCAGATGACCAGGTGAGTGCCAGGGAGGACAGGTTCTGGGGACCTGGAGGAAGATCCCCCATGACTCAGCCAACTTGGCATGTGAGGTGTGGAACACCATTTCTAATGTCCAAGGAGTATGGTCATGGCAACTGCCCAGGGTTGAAGACTGAGACTCTACCCTCATTTTCTGTGCCCAGGAAAGAGATGGTAAACTTGTTCTATAAAAGGAAGATGGCCGGGCCCAGAAAATTGGCCAGTACTGAATTTCAGACCAATCTCAATTTATATGACCTTTAGCCAGATTTAGTTTCATTTAGTTAAGAATTTGACAGTATTTATCAGGATTGTGGAGAGACTCACACATGTTCAAAATGACAGAATTTGTAGGTCACGATAGAAATTGGCTAAGGAAGGAGCTCACTGTTAAGCAAGGGAAATTACATTTCCCCTCTCTTTTTTGGTGAAAATTTACATAACAACTAACATTGGAGCCCTACATGCTATAATTTCTGGGTATGGGGGCTATGTGTCTATGTTAGAGAACTACCCAGACTGATGGGCCCTGCCTCCTCTCCTGGAACCATCTGAGCAGAAAGAGAAGAGTTCAAGGAGAACTAACTGTCTGGAGAGACGTGGGTAGTGCCTCTAGCCCTGGCTGAAATACCTGCACCGTGGGCTGGAAGGAGGAATGCACATGCTCATGTGATCATCTAGTAGTGAGGCTGGGGTGGGGATTCTGGTGGGTGGGGAGGAGGTGGGGAGGTGACAGGGAGCACCGTTCCATGTCTTCACAGTTCTCAGGTGGGACCTCTGTGTCTAGTCCTTCTAGAAATACTCTCTCTGCACCGTTCCATGATACCCCGTTCTCTTGGGGTTTTCTCTAACACTCTGTCTTTCTTTTCAGGTTCTGCCCTTGGAACGTGGGGATTCCTTGGGACTCTGTCCAGCGTCCTTTGTTCATTTCATTCTTCTCAACGACCAGCTCCTTCCATGACCAAACTCACCATGTGTGTCCCAGGACTTTTAGACCTGTATCCTGGTCTCCTTTTGAGCCTCCAAACATTAAAACTCTGCTCTTTGTCCTAGTGAAATGCATTTTGTCATGTCTAAAACCCATCCTGGCACAATACCCATTCCTTGTCTTCCTGTGTCAAATCTGCTCCTCATTTATGCTTCTCATCTCCCCACAACCCACCCAGAAGCCTGGAAGAGAATTCTGATTCCTCCTGGTCTCCATCTCAGGGATCCGACCCTACCCCTGTCCTGCTGATTCTAATTTTAAAATATCTACCTCTTTCTCGGTGCTTCTGTAAGGTCTGCTGCTATGAGGGTGTAGAGCAAAATGCCAAAGCAAAATGCCCTGCTATTTGGGTTTAAAGTCATTAGTAGTCATTCCTGAGCCCAGTGAGTTGAGGTGATTTATTTATAATTTCTAATTTCTCTTGATCTTATAAATTCAAGATAAGAAGAGAATCAAAAGTCACCCATATGAGCAAATTCTAGGTGGCAAGATGTATCTGGCCAATGTGTTCCCTTTCAATAAGAAAACTTGAGTGGCCTGTTAGGGAAATCATTGGGCACACCTCCAAGGACTCCCAAGGTCACCCTTGCATAGAGCCCGGCAACCATTTTCCTTTTTGTCCTAACAGGTGAGACTTGTGGATGCTGACCATTATTTTTAGGTTTCTGGGTCAAGATTCCTGAGTATCATAAATACAGGGCAAGAGGGCCTTGAGAAAGAATGATTAATACAGGCAAATCCCATGCTGGAGTTACATGGTGTAGGAAGCCTGCAGACTTAAGGTTCCTTCCTTCCTTCCTTCCTTCCTTCCTTCCTTCCTTCCTTCCTTC